AGCTGGGGCACCTCCCATCTCCGTGGTATCTCCAGATGAGGAAACCATCTCAGAGAAGTGAGAAAAGACTTGGCCGGGCCATATCCCTGTGAAACCAGCAGGCACCTGGACGCTAGCCGGAGGTAGAGGACAGACACGGGCTTTGACGTTGGGTAGGTCCGGTTTCCAGACCAGGTCTGTTCTTCCCGATGTGGCACGTTGGAATAGACACCCTGAAGGCTCTCTGGGAGGCCCATTTTCCGTCTTAAAATGGACGTGATGCAATTTACCTCATAATATATTGGTGCGGATTCCAAGAGAAGAATTTAAATATCTGGCACACAGAAGACACTCAAGAAATACAGTTTCTATTTTCTTTTATCTCCCCCAATTTGATCAATCCATCCCCAGATAGAACATCCTTTAGAATCTTGCCCATTTTTTTTTTGTTGTTGATGGGACATCCAAAAAGATGTTAGGGGTTATTTTTTTGTGTTTGTTTGGTTTGTGGTGAGCTGACTTTGCTTTTTAAAAGGGAAAAGAAGGAAATCTGTAGTACCTCAAACAATGAGCCTTTTTAAAGCCTGCATCGGACTCCAATTTCAAAGAATATTCTTATTAACATACTTTCTTATAAATGGAGCGCTGCTCATCAAATATTTATAAGTAGTAGCCCGAGAAGCCAGCGCACTGCTTGGCAAGCCTGGGGACATTTCCCACATGCGCTGTCGGATGGCGTAGGCAGGGGAGACCCTTTAATTTTGTGACATGGTTTGGGGGCTCCAGCGTGAGCTAGTCTTGGCAAGGTTTCTCCCTGCTCTGGGCCTGTTCTGGAGCCTTTCAGGACCCCCACGTAGACTGTCCATGCAGGCAACTCCCTTTGAAGTCCCCGGGAGCTCTTTGAATGGAAAACATACACAACGGGGGTGTTGATGCAAATAAGCATCAGACCTGATATACGTGGGGAATAAAGGTGCTTCTCACCCCAAATATTAGCTCTTTAGCCCAGAAACTATGGTTTGATCATTAAATAAAAAGGCCACTCTCCCCCCGCCAAAAAAAAAAAAAAAAAAACCCACCATCTACCACCAAAGCTCCACCATTTATCTGCTTAGGAAACGATAAACCTGCTAATTACCAGAGAGTTTTAATTAAGCAACGGATATAGACAGTGCCGGGCTCTGTTTTTACTTTAAACGTATCAATAAAATAAAATTCCCAATTCCAGGGAAATGTACTAAATGAAAAAAAATAAACATTACTATCTTTTGAGATATCACTCATCGAGCGTGATAATTTAGAAAAAATATCGCTATTAGAGATAGTTAGAGATATTTTTTGGTTGAAAATGCAGTCGCCGACACAGCACCGAGCTGCAATTTGTAGACAGGTTAAGTAAATTAAATCACTCACTGTCTTTTTTTTTTTTCAATGGCTTTAAAAGTTAAAGGTAATTTGCAAAGAAAATGCTCAGTTTGAATTGGTTTGTAATATCTGTTAATGATCTTTAAAAAAATCCACTTATTCACAATCCTGTCCCTGAGGGAATTCTCATGTGCTATCAGAAAAATTTCTTAAGTCTGAAATGTCATTAGCTAGTGATTTCTTTGAAGCAAAAAGCCCTGAAAAAAATAAATTATATAAGGTATACAAGTGTGCAGGACAATCACTTTGATGAATAATATCTGTGTTTTTCGTCACTTAAAATGCAACAATTGAAATCCAAGCTGCTAAATTATAGAGCTGTCTTCTGAATTACCTCGGTGAAGGTATGCCTGCTCTGTTTATTTCACACGTATATTGGGTTCTTCCATATATTTATAGATTGTTGATGTAAAAACAGTAGTGTTGGAACAATTTTGATTCTATTCATTGTGTTTACCTTTTGGAAACACAAGGTGTTGCCTAAATACAGCGCTACAGGTGTTGCCGTCCAGAATTAAAACAATAGCCTGTTTTAGTGCGGCATCCTGGATCCCCAGAACCCTTCGCCCTGAACGGGGGTGTGAATACCGCACAGCCCCCAAATGGTCCAATACTAGATAACAGAGCTGTGAAATACTACACCAAAGGGGAAATTTTCTTCCTTACCCCAGCTGGCTATCAGTTTTTGCCTGGAAGCAGGGGAATGTTTGTAATACAATATTAGTCAGTGTAACTGCAGATGCCTGGTTTGCCTGCTATAAATAGCTGATCTTTTTTTTTTTTTTTTTGAAGGAGGAGTTGGATTTTCGCAAAACCATTGGCTACAGGTTAATTGTACATTTAATCAGAACGCATTTCCTTGTAGCCAGCCTAAATTTGTTACCTTTTAATCCCGTTTTAGGTAAGACTAGAAACGTAGGAGCCTCCAGGAACACCTTCATTATGTCTTTTTTTCCCCCTCCGTTAGACCTTTACTTTTTTTTTTTCTTCTCACACATTACTTACCTCTTAGCTAAACTGCAGAGGGACCCAGTTTTACTCATTGCCTCAAGGGGAAGGCATTCTCTCTTCCCTAGTCCAGCTAGATGTGATTCTTCTTATTTTCTGCTCTGTAACTGACATCTGGAGAACACACTGAATATCGGTAAGAACAAACCTCTGATTGATTTTAATAAAGAAATTCGATAATACTTGGTGCTTCCATTTACTTCACCTAAGAAATGGAAATCAACATTTGAAACGTTTTGGGGAAGCTTCATTGGGGCTCCATGTCTGGAATATTATGAAGAGCAGGAACATGGGCCTCAATGTGTTATCGTGGAGAGAACACATCCTTGTAACCACCTCCCAGGACAAGAAAGAGAATATAGCCACCATGCCGGATGGCCTGTAGGATGGGACTCCCCTTTCCTCCTTAAAGATAATCACTCTCCTGATGTCTGACACCATAGATTTGTGTTTTGTTTTTGTTTTTTCAACTTCATGTGTATTTATGAGCTGTATCTATGTTGCTGGCTGCAATTATATTTTCCTTGTTTTATTTCCTTCCGTTGTATCAATACCTATTTCTGTCTTGATGAACATTTGGGTTGTTTTTGGTTTTTGGCTATCTCAGAGAGTGCCACTGTAAGTTTCCTCGTGCACATCTTTGGTGGGTGTGCATGAATTTCCTTTGGATAGATAGACTAAGGTGGAAGTTACTAAGTAGTGGGGCATGACTGTGCTCAGCTTTAATGATGTCTGTTTTCCAAAGAGGTTGTATCAGTTTCCACCCCCACCAGTGGTGGGCGAGAGAGCCACTGCTTTAATCCTTATTAACATTTGGTATTCTTCCTCTTTTTGATTTTGCTCATTCTGGTGGTATGTACTTGAATCTCATTATGGTTTTAATTTGATTTCCCAGATTATTAATAAGTTGAGTATCTTTTCATGTACATTGGCCATTTGGATATTTTGTGAATGGGCTTTTCAAGGGTCTTGGTAATTTTTCCACTGCATTGTTTATCTTTTTTTGCCCCCCCCTTTTTAAATGTTTATTTTTGAGAGAGAGAAAAACAGACTGTGAGTGGGAGAGGGGCAGAGAGAGAGGGAAACACAGAATCCGAAGCAGGCTCCAGGCTCTGAGCTGTCAGCACAGAGCCAGAGGTGCTGGGCTCGAACTCATGAATCAAAAGATCATGACCTCAGCTGAAGTCAGACACTTAACCGACTGAGCCACCCATGTGTCCTGCATTGTTTATCTTTTCTTATTGTTTTGTAGGTGATACTTATATTCTTGATATGAGCTGTTTTTGATTACATATATTGCAAATATCTTATACTACCCTGAGTTTGATTTTTCACTCTCTTTATGGTATCTTTGGATGGATAGAAGACTTTAATTTTAATGTCATCTAATTTTGCAATATTTTCCTTTATAGTTAGTGCTGTCTATGTCTTATTTAAGAGAGTTTTGCTTATCTGAACGCCATGAAAATATCCTTTTTACATTATCTTCTGGAAGCTTTATTGTTTTACCTTTCACATTTAGATTTATAATCTACATGGCATTGATTCTAACATATGGTGTGAGGTTGGGATCAAATTTGTTTTTTCTTCCGTGATATCTACTTACTCCATATGGTTAATGAAAAAGACTTCTTTCCCAGTGCTCTGAAGTGATCTGTTTGTCATAAATTAAGTACTCACTTATTTATAAAATGATCATACGACTTCCTCCTCCCCCCTTTAGTCTGTTAGAATAACTTAACAGATTTTTCAATGTTAAACAAATTTTGCATTACTGGACTAAACCCAAAGTGCACATGATATATTATTTATTTGAAGTATTGCTCCACGTTTTGATAATTTTTACAACAACGTGTCTGCATGAATTTTACCTGTAATTTTCCTTTACTGTAATACCCTTGTCAGGTGTGCTATCAAGGCTTAGCTGGCTCATAAAATGAGTTGGAGAGGCGTCCTCTGTATGTTCTTTAAAAAAATTAAAACATAAATAAATTTAATCTAATATAGTTACTTAAAATATATGTAGTTTGTCCTAAGTATATCATAAGGTTCTCCAGAGAAACAGAGCCAGTGTGTGTATGTGTTTATTATAGGAATTGACAGCACAGTTGCAGAAGAAAAGAGGTCCCATGATCCACTCTCTGCTAGTTGGAGAACTGGGAAATCTGGCCAGGTAACTCGGCCCAAGTCTGAAGGCCTGAGAATCACAAGGATGTGTGTGTGTGTGTGTGTGGTGGGGGGCAGGCAATTGTGTAAGTTCTAGTTGGATTCTGAAGGCTCAAGAAACAGAAGCTTTGATGCTCAAGGGCAGGAGAAGGTGGATGTCCCAGCTAAGGCAAAGAGAAAATTCACCCTTCCTCCACCTTTCTGTTTGATTCACGCCCTCAGTGGATTGGATGAGGCTTACTGGTGAGGGTGATCTTTACTCATCTACTGGTTCTGGTTCCCTTCCAGAAACATCCTTGGAGAGATATCCAGAAGTAATGTTTTACCAGGTATCTGGGCACCTCTTAACCATGTCAAGGTGATGCATAAAACTAACCAGCACAGTAAGTGTTCACCACAATGTTCTTTCATTCCAGGCTTCTGTAGATGTTAACTTAGACTGGCAGCAGAAGGCTGGTTTTGTGTGAGTTTGCCTGGGGAAGAAAATGGAAGTTACATGATCTTCTGGGAGTTTTTTACAGGCAGTCACAACCTGCTCACGTGCCCAAGGCTGAAGTCCATTATTGCATCTCAGTGCCAGAACCCACGATCACAGTTCACCCTGGGTTTAAAGGAAAGCCTATGAGATGAGAAGCTTTTTGGACACATGACCAGCATTCAGATGAAACACCTGCTCCCACTGAGAACCTTCAAAGCCAATTTCATCTACTTTTTGACCCCTTCAGGTGCTGTTCCATGGAGGTTTTTTTTTTGCTTGTTTTTTGTTTTAAATTTTAATCTCCTTCCATACTGTATATTTCATATCTGACCCCATCTCTCCATTCCTGCTTGCCATTATCCAAGTTCAAGGCCTTGTCACCTCTTGCTTGGGCTGTGGCAATTGTGGGGTACCTAGTGTCCATTTCATCCCCTTCCCAGCCATCCAAGTGCTCACTCTAAAATAGGCAGCCAGCCATGTTAGTCCATGTTGAAAACTGCATAGTGGCTCTCCATTGCTGTACGAGAGGAAGTCCAGGCTCATGAACACAGCACACGAATTCTCCTGTGACCCTGCTCTTGCTTACCTCTCCAGCTTACCTCACCTCTTTTCTCCACTTCAGTCTTCTCCTTACTCCCCAGCAGCTCTGTCTGCTGCAGTTCCCAGTGTTTTCCCCTGGAGTTATTTGTGTCTCAGTTTTTGTGGATGCCGATCTTTCCGCAGGGGATGGGCTGTCCATGTCATTTTCCTGGGCAGGTAATTCTTGAACAATCGACTCAGGCCAGAGACTGTTGATCCCACCTAACTGGAGATGCATGGTCCCCTCCTCATCCATGGCTTTGTTTCTGATTAGACTGTGAACTTCTTGAAGGCTGGGTCCAGATCTTAGTTATTCCTGTGTCTATAACTCACTATGTGTTGGATGATAACAGGTGTTCAGTAAACACATTTAGACTTAAACAGAAGGAACAGCACTTACTAGTTGACTTGTTTGAGTTTCATTTCATCTTTTTTTTTGGAAGCCCAAGATGGAATGAGATGGCCCAAATGCCATGACTAGAAGCTATGGAAAATCTGTGAATATCAATCTCTTCCTGAGCGACTGATTTCAGTTCACCTGATTAAGACTCTTATGATGGAATTCTCATTTTGTAGAATGGATTAGTGACAAAGATTTTCTATAAAGACAGATTTTTTCCAGAGAAACAAATTCAAACACTTTCCTCCAAGAATTTAAATGAAAAAAATAATCCTATTTGAAAGGCAAGTTGACCAATATCCTTCCCCTTTTCTCTTATTAATAAAAGAGTTTACACAGAAACTCTATAAGAAATTGTGTAAGAGATTCACAAGGATCATTAAAGTCTCTACTAGACATTCACTTTCACTTTGTAAAATTGGCTATACCCTCAAAATGGTATCACATAAAAATGGACTTTCTGGGGCTCTTATATATGAATGGGTTTTGCTTGCACAGTGGGGCCATTCATTTTATTTGGCCCATTTATTGCAAGCACATTCTAAATTTGGCCTTAATTATTTTTCCTTTCACAAAAATATTTTGCGGGATCTTTTTGAACCCTGACTACTTCCTTCTTGCCCCTTAAAACAGAATCCAGGAGTGTTATTTTTGTTCTCTTCTAATTAAAATAATTGCTTGGTTCCTTTTAACTAGATTCATGCAGTTATTAGCCTCATACATGGATGGGTGCCATGGGGTGCTTGAGAAACAAAACGAAAAGTGATCATGTAGCTTCACATGAAAAAGATTCTTTGGTGCCAAGGAGCATTATTCCTTTCAGCCGGCATTTTATAAGGGCCTTTAGTAAACCTTGTCCCCCACCCCCCCCAGACCCTTACTAAAAGACGATTAAGTGAAAGAATGGTTCTATTTTCTCTATTAGGTAGACAGTGAACTCAGTACAATTTGAAGAGGGGCACTTGATATGTTAGGCATGGCACAGAGACTAGGGGTCTGGTTTTAATCTCTGCCCCTGCTTTGTCTTTCAGAATAACTGCAATTGAAGGATAAATGCCCCATGTCCTCTCTGCCAGTCGGTGTTTATCAGAGGCCAGTGGAAGAAGAGGGACAAAGGTGCCTGCCTGGATGTATGTGTTCATCAAGGGTTGTCGGCACCCTGTTTCTAAAAGGAAGTTTTAAAATAATGTCTTTGACATCAAGATGGTTCTGGAAGTTGATGCAGTCCAACAGTTTGGCAACCACAGGCCTGCAGGCTAAAGCTGACGTGTTGCCTGTTTTTGCAAATAAAGATTTATTGAAACGCAGCTGCACGCATTTGTTGATGGATCGTCTGCTGCTGCTTTTTGCACTACAACATGGAGCTGTAGCAACAGAGACCACATGGCCTACAGAATCTAAAGGATTGACTGGTTCCTTACAGAAAAAGTGTGCTGACTCTTGATACAGTCTGTCCAGTTCACTGAGTATCTGCTAAATAACTACTCCATGCTGAGAAATGTACTTGTAGGAATTTGGATGGCGGCCCTCACCTGATGAAAGGGTCTTTGGGAATGTGCTTATGTTATGGGTACTGGTGTATAGACAGCAGGAAGGGACACAGACTTGGGGCAGGAAATCATGGTTTGAGAAAGGGCTCTGTCATTATTGCCTCAGCCGCAAGGCATTGATCATGGCGGGGCTCTTCCTTTGTCTACTACATGGAGGGGAAGGTGCTGAAACTTCTGGCTTGGAGTGCATTTTTATTTATTAACTACTTCAAGACATTATGGTCAACATTATGGAAGTTGGGCACCCATTGCCAATTGGTCATTGAATGGGTCAAGTAAGAGAATGTGAGTCTTTAAACCATAAGATGCTATATTTGTGACAAATGAAAACATCAGGATAAATGTTATTTCTGTTTGGCCTGTGAAGCAATAAGACAGATAGCCTAACCCAAGGTCAAGTACTAAGTCATCAGGGAGCTGGAAGCTAGGTTTCCTGATTTAAGTCACCGTTCTTTCTCGTATCCCATATGCTTTTTTAAAAAAGTTTATTTTAGGGGCGCCTGGGTGGCTCAGTCAGTTAAGCGTCCGACTTCGGCTCAGGTCATGATCTCACGGTTTGTGGGTTCGAGCCCCACGTCGGGCTCTGTGCTGACAGCCAGCTCAGAGCCTGGAGCCTGTTTCAGATTCTGTGTCTCCCTCTCTCCCTCTGACCCTTCCCTGCTCACGCTGTCTCTCTCTCTCTCTCTCAGAAATAAATAAAACATTAAAAAAATTTTTTTTAAGTTTTTTTTTTTAATTAGAGACTGAGAAAGTGCAAGTTGGGGAGGGGTGGAGAGAGAGGGAAAGAGAATTCCCAGCAGGTTCCTCAAATCAGTGCAGAGCCCAATTCAGGGCCTGAATCTACAAACTGTGAGATCATGACCTGAGCCCAAGTCAGACACTTAGCTGACTGAGCCTCCCAGACACCCTTACCATATGCTTTCTTACATCATGCTTCTTTCCATGGCTTCAAAAATGCTCAGTTCTTTAGTTTATTCACTCATTCACTCACTATTCAATATTATTTAAGAGGCTGCTATGCATGAAAAAAGAGCTGAATTTTTCAGGGAGAGTGAGGACTATATAAAGGAGCATTGGAAGACTCGTAGAATAATTTTGTTCTTGGATCATTGAGATGAGAATCCTCCAGAAGGATATAGATTCTCCTCTGGATTTCCTCTGTCCTGCCCAAGGGGTTGGCCCTTATTCGTGATATGGAGAATGAGAGAGTAGATGGGATGGGAAAGGAAGAGCAATCCTATCATTCAAAAGCCTAACATGTTGTTTTATGGTCTGTGTGTGTGTGTGCATGTGTGTGTGCGTGCGTGTACTATTTATGTGTGTGTACACACCACGAAAGCAAAGAGAGAGATGCTGAAATGTTGATAACAGACTGTACCAGCAATGAAAGGATGGTGACAATCTAGGTTTGGAAAATTTGTAAGTGAAGATTTTGTATACAAAGTCCAAGGGAATCCAGATCAAAGGAATTTTCAAATACGAATTGTCCAGTTAAATGACATAAATTAAACATGCCAGATGTGGACTTATTTTACCACACTGTTTAAATACAGCCTTCATTCAGATTGTATTCATTCAATGATGTGTCCAGTAATTTTTGAAATGACGGTTATCAAATGTGCCTGGAGGAAGCAGCTTCCACCAAAATATTAAATTTGCCTTGTCATGGTAGGAGGAGTGATATTCTTGAAAGTTTCTGTTTTTGATGCTTGCTATTTTAACAGGGAAGTTTGCCAATATTTTCTTGATATTCAGTGTTGTGGGCTTTTTTTTTTTTCAGGTTTATCTGTGAGCCCAAGTCTGGCACGCAGGTGCCAGTGAAGCTGCCTCATAAGAAAGCAAACCTTCCAGAATCTTCCATTGGAGAATTGTCACCTGCAAAGACCTCTGAGAGGTACAGTAGAAAATTCTGCTTCATTCTCTTTCCCCTCTGTTTCCATAAGTCAGTCACAGCTCTGCCAACTGAGTTTGGGGGTGGTGGTGTCTGCTTCTATAATTCATCAACAAAACTGTGTTACCTCTCAGATGGTCCCAGGACCTAGGATGCTGCTCTTTTAAGAAGTGTAATTTGGTTCAGCACACAAAAAACATATTCATAGCTGGTCTTAGTAGTGATACAGATAACACTTTTCATCTGTAAGAAATTTGTAAGCGTTAACTAATTTATTTAACATCCCTGTAATTGAGTGAATTGTCTTCCATTTGCTGTGGGAAAGCCCTTCCTTTTCTAATTCTAATCTTTTAGCAGGTGTTCTCCTGAGTAATTGTCATCAGGGTGGAAATGTTTTATAGAGGGGAAATAAATCTTTCAGCGCAGTGTAAAATCCCACCGAAATAGATGACCTCCATTTTCTCAGTGTATAGCCTATTTTTAAGTGATTAGACAATGCTCTTGAAAAAAGTGACATCTCCTTGAAAACCGTAGGAGCTGTTCTTCTATTACTACAGCCGTGGATACTTACCACTACTGTGTACCATGTTCCTGATGGTTTACACATATTACTTTGGGTTCCCCAGGAAGGAGAGCTTGAGGAAAAATTTCATGTGCTGTCTCTTTAGTGGAGAGCTCAGTCCCAGAGTGGGACAGGTTTGGGAGAATGATGGTGAGGCTGAGATGAAAGGAGCAAATACAAGGGTGTGTTATTGATGTGGCCCCAACTTGGTAGGTGGTGTAACTGATTGCTTAGTCCTTGGGTTGGTGGTAGGCTAAATATTGGCCTCCAATGAAATGTCTTGTGTCCTAATTCTTAGAACCAATGAATGTTACCTAACGTGCCAAAGGCTTTGCAGGTGTGACTAAGAATCTTGAGATGGAGGGATCACCTTGGATTATCTGGGTAGGTCATAAATCCGATGGTAAATATCTTTACAAGGTGGCGGCAGAGTCAGTGGCAGATCTGACACATAGAAGAGAGGGCCGTGTGATCATGGAGGCAGGAGTTTGAGTGATGCAGTCACAAGCCAAGACATGTGGGCAGTCACTGGAAGCTGAAATCTGTGAAGAAGGGACCCTCCCCCAGGGCCTCTGGAAGCAGCACTGTCCTTGCTGGCCCCTCAGCAGTACTGACTGTGGACTTATGCAATAATCCATGTCTGTTGTTTTGAGCCATCACGTTTGTTATAGCAGCCATGGGAACCAAATACAAGGACTGTCCTCCCAGAGCATAAACTGTTGGGTCTCAGGATGGACTAATAGAGGACAGGTGGCAAAAGAATTGGTGTGCCAGTCCCACCACCAATTGGTGAATGGTTTTCCTAATGGGACATTAACACCCCATTACTTTCCCCTCTTACCTCTGGGTTGAATATGGTTAGGAGTGGAGTTTTGCTGGAATGTCTCATGCTTCATGGGTAATAAGGAGGCTTTGAGAAGAGAGGGCAGAAGCCAGCCAAGGGGACTGAAGAAGAGGCTCCATTGGGTTGCACAGGACCAAATCTGTGGAGTGGAGATAGGGTGAAGCAAGTAGCTGACAGTCCAGAGCAGTGTGGCCAAGTCGCCACCTGAGAGGTGGCATCTAAGGGGATTTGAAGCAATGATCTCCTTGGTTCTCCTCACAGGCACATGAGGCATGGGTGATATGATCTCCTCAGCATGCACTCATTCTCCAGTTTTGAATACCATTAGCTTCTGGAACTCACTGTCTCTCAGGGCTGCACATCTCATCTTCAAATGTGGTCATGGAAGTCCTTTTCTTCAGTTGGATCAAAAGACGCCTTTTTGGAATATTCCACGAGTGGCTCTAGTTTTACTTCTTCTTCTTTTTTTTTTTTTTTATTGTTTTATTTATTTTTGAGAGAGAGAGAGAGAGAGAGACAGCGTGAGCAGGGGAGGGTCAGAGAGAGAAAGGGAGACACAAAATCCGAAACAGGCTTCAGGCTCTGAGCTGTCAGCACAGAGCCCGACGTGGGACTCGAACCCACGAATTGTGAGATCATGACCTGAGCCGAAGCCGGACGCTCAACAGACTGTGCCACCCAGGTGCTCCTAGTTTTACTTCTTGATGAACATAAGATAAAGCTCATTCTTGCCCATGATAGCTCTCTCCAAATATTTGACGACAGTTTTTAGCCTTTTATCCCCCTGCCAAGGAGAGCACGCCTCATTTCTACAACTCTAGAATAGCGGAGGCACTTTCTCATTGTGCTGGTGGCCACCCTTTCCCCCAGCCAGGTTTCAGTTTGTACCCCATAAGGAAGCTCACAGAATGCCCCAGAACTTCAGACATGGTCTTCTCAAACATATGGGGTTCTTCCCTCCTTGGTTCTTACATCACTTAATGTAGCCAGAGATTCTTTTTCTTTTATTTTTTGCCAAGCACAACTTGTTTTGGTTGTACTGAGTGTAGTGCTGGTCACAATACTTCTTACACTCATTTGTGTACAGATGACTATATGGGAGTGTAGTTAGTACTAAAGGTGCCCCAAGAGCTCTAAAGAACGAATCACTCTGCAAGTGGTGTTACTGTATGATCAAATCATAGAGATCAAAGTGCCTCCCCCACATGAAGGCAGCACTTATTGGCCATGTTGGATTGAAGGGCATTCCCAGCCAACCTGCCCTATCACCATCGTTCTTTCAGCCAACCAACTAACCAACCAACCAACCAAATCCAATTCTGGAGCACCTCCTGGCCCAGAGGAAATCTACCCTGATAGAGCAGGCAGAGTTCTACTCCTGGTCCAATCCAAGACCCTAAGACCTTCTGCAAGATAATTACCATGGGCTAAGAAGGCCAGTGGACAGGTGCTTTACATCCACTATCTGCCACATTCACAGTAACTGTGCAAGGTAGATATTGTAGTCTTTATTTTACAGATAGAGAAATTAAGGCTCAGTTCAAAGGATTTCTCAAGGTTTTAGTGGAGCAGACCTAGGGTTGAGATTCAGGTGGGTCAGCCTTTCTGCTAAACCACTTGGTGGCTAAAGTGATTTTGAAGCTGTTGGGAGGCAGTCTTTGGACCTCTGTAGGTGCACTGAGCCTTGAGCTGACCCTTCCATGCCACCCAAAGGAGCTGGGTAGAACACAGTTGGCATTAAATGGCAAGTCTCTGTAAGTTCACCCTTAGTGACTGGGTCTTCTGCTGTCATACATGTTAGGAAACATCCCAACCACATTCTGGCCCAACCTCCACTGTTCACAAATTTGGCACTTTCTTTGGCCCAACATTCATCCACTAAGTGCCTTCTGGGTCTTTTGCCCCGGGCCAAGATAGGGATGGAAGAGCAGAGGCCCTTGGTTTAGGTCATGCAGCCTGAGAGTGCAGGAGTTCAAATGAAGGCCTCAAACATCTAGGTCATTGAGTCTGATCCTGCAGAGAAACCAGTAATATTTGAACTTCCTCTGGGCACCTACCCAAACCAAGGCATTCTTGAACCATGAGGGTGTATAATATTGTGTGGAGCTTTATCCAACCTTTTACCTCTAGTTTTTTCTCTTCACTTTTACTGCATTCAAGCAACTAGGCCAGTGCCTACTTTTTTTTTCAGGGAGGGAAGTGACAGTGAAAAATGAGTCTTACCCTGGTTGTGGCAGAGTCTTTTGGTTGACACCCTCAATGTGCTCCCAACTGTCTATTTCCTGTAACAGAAGCTAGAAAACCAACAGCTCACCTTCCCACCATCTTACAGATTAGAGTAGGCAGGTGCCTCCAGTGCTGAGCGGGAAATGTAGGCCATGGTCCATTATCGCCACTTCTTTCCTGGCCAGCTTTGTCCTGCTCATGTGATATGGGATGCCCAAGGGACAGCTGCCATCGTTACTCAGCATTAAACAGGCTGGAGGCTAGGAAGAGCCTGGTTCCTTGACTGCATCTTTGTTTAGCACTGTGCCTGATTTTTAAAAATTTTATTTATTTTTGAGAGAGGGGAGCAGAGAGAGAGGGAAAGAGAATCTCAAGCAGGCTCTGTGCTGACAGCATGGAGCTTGAACCCACGAACCCTGAGGTCACAACCTGAGCTGAAACCAAGAGTCAGAAGCTTAACTGAGGGAGCCACCCAAGGTGTCTTTGTGCCCGATTTTTTTGTTGTGTCTCACAATGAATTTGTAAGTCTCTGTTGTTGGGTTTCTGTGATGTCCTTCCAGATGTAAGCCTTAGTGTTTTGCTATATTTTGGGGGGAACAGAAAGAACTTAGGGCCCAGCTAAAGAGTGGAGATTATAAGTCTCTGGGGACATTTCATAATCATGAAGGTGGGGGAAGGGGCAGGGAGAAGATCTATCTTTGGTCTCAGGCCATCTGGTGGAAGCTGTATGGGTGGAGTACGAGGGTGTCCAGAGTAACTTGGGCAGAAGATGTGTGAGGACCAAGGTGAGGGGGGACTGAGTGACATATCAGAGGTTTCCTGAAGAGACACTGCTGGCCTCTCCCCTACCATGTCTTAGAACTAAAGAATCCCCAGAACTTGGCCTTGGCTTAGGCACAAGGGAGACTCCATTACTGAGTTTCTGCCACCCTGGAAGAATGAAGCTTCAAAATACACATTATATTAAGTTATGAAACACACACAAGCACACGCACACACACACACACACATTTTGCGAGGGAAACAGAGCATGAGTGAGCATGGGGAAGCAGCTGAGGGAGAGGTAGAGAGAGAGAGGCTGAATGTGGAGCCTGATGCAGGGCCCAGTATCATGACCCTGAGATCATGACCTGAGCTGAAGTCAAGATGGAGCTGCCCAAGTGCCCCCAAAATGTAGACATTTTTAATGCCTGAGTTGAGGACTGAGATCAGCACCAGCTCTGTTTTTGAAGGGGCAGAACATGGGGTGCCTGGGTGGCTCAGTTGTGTAAGTGTCCGACTTCGGCTCAGGTCATGATCTCAAGGTTCGTGGGTTCGAGCCCTGCGTCGGGCTTTATGCTGACAGCTAGCTCAGAGCCTGGAGGCTGCTTT